CATTCAAAATCGGATATAATTCTACAGGTTAGCTTTTACCTGGTTCATCTCTTACTGTTGCTTTTCCCAACTGGATTCTCCACTTTCCACTGACAGCATGGTAAACTGGAGAGGGAACACAGACTTTGGAGTTGGGAAGATCTGGGTTTGAGCTCTGCACTTGCTAGCTGTGTGCCTTTTGTAAGGTTACTTTATCTTCCTAAGCCTCTGTTTCCTCATTTGTAAATCAGGAACAATAACAGCAAGGACCTCATGGGATTATTATGAAAACTAAGTAAAACAGTGCATGGAATGCCTGTGTACAACAGATGCTCAATAAATGTCAGTTTTTCTCTTTCTGTCGTTTAGGCACTAATGCTATCTTACTTTTATTTCCTTAGGGACCTATCACTGGCACAAAGAACTCAATGAATAATCTATGGTGGATATAATCACAAATTATTCTTACTGTTTACCTCTCTCTTATCTAAGAGCAACTGACAGGTCTGAAGGTTTAAGATTACTAGTTTTATTAGACTGAAGACTGACCTAGATACTAAGAGCCCTTGCCTCTCTGTACTGCCCCACCTCCGGACTGACCCTTCCCTCACTGCGGGTAGTTTGTCCTGCCAGAGTTTATTATGCCCTCAAAAAGCAGACGGCTGATTCCAGGGGGCAAAGGGTATGTGTGTCTGTGTGTTCGTCTAGACTCAATGTCATCAGCTGAAAAGTTCCATGTTTTGACTAAGGTACATTTCTCAAGTATCTCTCTAAACAGAAAACCCTTATCTTACTGATTTGGAGAGAACAGAACTTGAGTCCCAGCAAATTTCACCCAGAAACACAGACTTGGTATATATACGGCTCACCACCTAAAGACAAAAACCCGATAAATCCCGCCGCCTCAGAGAACAGGAGATAATGATGGGCGGGGGACTATACACAGACCACACGCCGACTGCAAAAGATGGTCGTGGGCGAACTCTTCACGAAAGCCCGGCTGGGCCTCGGGAGACTGCACACACAGGCCGGTGAGAGTCGGCGCGTCTACTTAGTTTACGAGGGTAAAACGCCGCTGCGGATGCAGGTGCACTGCAAGCTGCTTCCAGATTCCCGGACCGAGAAGGGGTCCGCCTTGTCGCCAAGCCTCCACCTGGCCCAGTTCCTCCATTTGCGCATACCCAAGAGCGGCCAGGGTGGTCGGGTGCCGGACCACCCCGCAGAGCCTAGGGCCTCTGCGCGCGGGCATATGGCACCACGCCGGGGCCGTACAGCGTGTCCCGGGAGGCCCAGCTCGCCGCCATCCGTCCGCGCGCGGGCCCTATCCCGGGCCACCCGTTACCCGGGCGGCGCCCCCGCAGGCTCCCCGGTCGCCCGTGGCCCGGCGAGCACACCTCCCCGCGCCTTGGCGGGAGCAGAGCATCAGCCGCTGCAGAGGCACCGGCGCCCCGCCATACCTGCCGCCATCTCGCCGCTCGCGGCATACCTGCCTCGCCGCCACGACCCGCCCGGCCGCCCGCCTGCACTCCACGCCGGGCCGATTTGGGCGACGGCTTTCTGTCCTTTTTCTTCCGTCCACGTTCCGCAAGATGACGTTACGTCAGCGGCGTTGGAGTAAACCCGGCCGCCAGGCCCCCGCTGTTCACGCGCGGCTAAGGGCCGGCTGGGAGCTGCGCCGCGGTAACTGCGTAGACGCCTTCCGAGAATCCGCCCTGCGCTCCACGTGGCGGGCCCCGCCCTCCGAGGACCGAGCAGACGCCGGGAGGCGGGGCTCCACCTCTCCGGGTGGACGTCCACGTCCCACGACGGGCCGGGGGCCAAAAAGCGTGTCCGGGTGTCTGAGAGCCGCCCCTCGGGCCTTTCAGGGAGGCAGAAAAGATGCCAGGATCCTTCACTGCTGGTAGATTCCATAAGGTGTTCCAGGGACACCTTCGACATAGGTTGGATCAGTATACACAAATTTTTGGAACCCATACTCACGGCAAGCTTTTGCTGTTTGAATGGGAAATTTTTGGCAATGCGATACAATTATATGCCTTCTAGACGTCTGGAGGTTTCCCCCAAAGTCCCAGCCCAATTCTTCAGCAAGGGCATTAGTGAGAATACTGCATTTAAAAATAGTTGCGTTAAATAATGAATAAAAAGTTGTGTTTAATTCCTGACAATGGGAGCTCTTCAAAGGCGAATGCAGACCCACCCTTAAAATCAGAGCTCAGAGTCTTTTCTTCTTTCCTACTTGCTGTGTTTTCCTAAAGGGCATGTTCCCGCATAGGCAAAGACATAGTGCTGGGCAGGGGTTAGGGAGTGGGGGAGGGCACAGCACTGGAGCTGAGGTTTGTGACAAGGACCGCGTCTTATCCCTTCTGTAGTAGTCTCTGAGAACATTGCTGAGCCTATTCATTCCTTCCGTCAATCATTAAACATTGGCTACTTTATGGGCCAGGCATTCCCTAGATGTGCAGGAAGCCTTTTTTCCCTTCAGACATGAGTTCACAGCCGTATGTGAGTGAATGATTACAACACAATGTGATTAATGCACAGGGATTCAGGCAAGGCTTGAAAAAGAGTAGACATTCCAACTGTGCCTTGAAGAACAACTAGTAAGTAGTTCACCTATAAGAGCAGGGCAGGATTCTATAAGGAAGAGGGAATGGAATATGCAGAGGCATGAGACACGGAGCATGAGAAAAGGCTGCATGTGGAACAGGACAGGAGAGGTGTTTGGTTGGGAGGCTACCCTGCAAAAGGATTTCTGTGCTGTGCTAAAGATTTCGAATTTTATCTTCCTCAGAGATCGGGACCCATGATTTTTAAAGTACTGGAATAGACCAATGAGATTTGTGTGTCTGAAATGGGTTGAGAGCCATAAAAGGTAGGAAGTTGGTTAGCTTATTGCAAAAGGCCAGGTAAGAAATGATGGCTGGGAAAAAGGTTCCAGCAGAGGCCATGGGGCACTTTAAAAGGAGGGAGTGCTGACAACAGTTACTTCTTCAAAGTGGGAGGGTGAGAGAAGAGGAGGGGTACTTGGCAAATGTGATGGTGCTGCAAATACAGTGAATTGAAACATTTGATGAGAGCAGTTCTTAGGGGTGAGGGATGAGGACAAAGATATTGTTTTGAGCACTTTGGGTTTGAAGTAGAGTTGGGGATATAAAAGAATAAAACTGTCCTCCAGTTAAGTTTCATGTGGTACTTCAATTTTTAAGTCTCTCACGGTGGACCTGGAACAGATTAGGTGATTGTGGGTATAGCTAAAGCCATAAGGAACAGAGGCCTTCTCCACTGAGGAAATGCTGTTCTAGTTCTCTTAAATCACACAGCACCTTAAGGTAATTGCTTGTCTGCCTTCCCTGCTACAAGATAAGCTCCTGAAAGCAGGGAAGTATATTCCTGGCATGTAATAGACATACACTAAATATTTGATAAGTGAATGAATTTAACTTCTTTGGGCTTAGTTTTCTCAAATAAGAAATGGGCTAATAACACTGTAGCTGTCTATTCCATAAGGTTGTTAAAAGGATCAAATATGGAAATCCTTTAAGATTGTACAAATATTTTATTATTATTACAAATAAGGTTTTTTACAAAAAATTAAAGTATCATTGATATATAATCTTATGTTGGTTTCAAATGCACAACATAGTGGTTCAATATTTACCCATAGTATCAAGGCCTCACCTGCTCCAGTTCGGTCACTGTCCATCAATGTAGTAAGATGTTACAGAATCACTAACTGTCTTCTCTGTGCTGTACTACCGTCCCAGTGGCCAACCTATGCTGTGACTGCGAATTATTGTGCCCCTTAATCCCCTTCTCCTTCCTCCTCCAACCTCCCCAACCCCTCCCTCTTGGTAACCACTAGTCCCTTCTCGTGCCTATGAGTCTACTGCAAAAAAATAACAGCTTTTGAATTACTATTTTACTATTAATTTATTCTACTTTACCAATGAGAAAGGAATGGGATAGCTGAGTATGGATTAGGATAAAATCAAATACCAGAAATGTAAGCTAGTTTGCCCCTTCACAGAAATCAGGGAAATAATTCAGCCATGTTATCTTCCCTGCATATGATTTTTAAAATCTGATTTTTTTTTTATTTGAGTTATTTAGCTTTTGTGTTAGGCAAATGGATATGGGGCTGGGCATGAACAGAAAGCCACACAGGAAGCAGACTATTTAGAATTGGTCTCTACGAATGGAGGATTGAGGACTGCTTTTTTACATGCTATAGAGTACTAGATTTAAGTTATCTTGGTCTCAAGTTAATTATTAATTAACAAGGCAATTTGTTCGGAGTAACTTACAGTCTCCAAGAGCAGGAGGTAAAACTGGATCTCATAATAGGTGGGTACAAGGAACTGGAAGTGGAGAACCAAGACTATCCCTTGTCTTTGGGTCTCTTATTTATATTCTGCCCATCTGCTTCTTTTCCCCCCCTTTAAGATAGACTTCATTTGTGTACATCTTGGTGGAAAACAGCTTTCTCAGCCCTACAGTGCCCTCAGTTAGTGCCTACTCCTGATGACTTCTAGTCTTGGTCCCAGTTCCAAATTTCTAGAAGAGAACATATTAGCGGTCTAACGTGGGCCATCTGTGGCAGGGAGAGGAGGGGTCATGCAGGTAACAGGAACCGGGAGGCTGGGCCCACCCCTTCAGCAGAGCTCTGAGTGATGGGAATTCTTGACAGGGAATGGCTAGCTTGGTACATGCATTGGCAATGACAGGACTTAAACGAAAGCAGTTTCATCCATACTATGCAACATCACTCTGTAGTTTCACAAACAAGGCTGCCCATCAGAAGTACCAGGAAAGCTTTTAAAAAATACAGACTCTTAGAGACTTTTCTTCCCACCAGTAAATCATAATCCCTAGGGGTAGGGCCCAATCAGTATTTTTATGAATTCCCACAGAAGATGATGACATGACTGGTATTTAGAACCTCTACTTTAAAAGACAGGCCCAGCATGATAAACAAATACCTCAATAGAAAAACAGGGAGGTTCTTTACAGAGAGCAAATAGTTTCTTTAAAATGTAGTTTTATTTTCTCGGTAAAAATCAGAAATGCTTTAAAAAAAATCACCATTTTTGACATGTTAGACTTCCAGACCTTTTGTCTGCCAGTACACATGTATAAACATTTTTTGTTTAACAAAAATAGGATCACAGAGTATATGCCTTATCTTGTAGTCTGTTTTGTTCACTTAAAAATAGATCACGAATGTTATCCTATGGCAATAAAGGCAGGTCTACTCAATTTTCAGTGGTTGTACAAAATTGCAATCTATAGACATATTTATTTAACTAATCTCCTTTTGTTGGACATTCTTCCCCCTGGCCCACTGGACAATGTCTACTGAGCAGAATTGCTGGGTCAAAGTTCATGAGCATTTTTAAGGCTTCAAATACATGTTATTACATAGCTACCTGCCCTTCTCTCCAAGTTTCTACCAGTTTGTATTCCCATTAAAATATTTGAGAGTACCTCTGTCCACACCTGCCGTGGGCTGGCTGGGATTTTAACTCAGTTTTATCCAAATTGTACATACCCCTTTACAGTAAAATTTGCTCTTAAACTGAATACATGAATACAATAGAGGCCTTTTATGTACTAAGTTAAGTTACCTGTATAAATAAAGGAAGGGAGCTAAGAAGACTGTATTACTCTATAGATGTTTAAAAATGTTTTGAAAGTTTGTTACAAAGACAGTGACTAGAGATTAAGTCGATCATAAAATCTTACCTAAGGTATGTTAACTAGCTGTGTAACTGGAAACTAGGTTTATAGGCTAATGAAATTAGCAGAGGGATAGAGATGAAAAGAACCCTTGAGGTATTCCTGCCTTGGAGGAACAGATGCGCTGTTTTCTGATGTAAGATCTCACACAGTACAGTTTATAAAGGCCTGGTAGATCATAATGAGGTATCATTCATACCCACTAGGATGACTAACATAAAAAAGGACAATCAAGTGTTCACAAGGAGGTAGTGACATTAGAACCCTCACACACTGCTGGTGGGACTGTAAAACTGTGCAGCCTCTGTGGGAAGTTAGTTTGGCAGTTTCTCAATAAATGAAATACAGAGTTACCGTATCACTTAGCAATTCTACTCCTAGGTATATATTCAAGAGAAATAAAAATGTAAGTCCACGCACATAAAAAATGAAGTACTGATATATACAACATGGATGAACCTTGAAAATACCATGCTAAGTGAAAGAAGCTAGACACAGAAGGCCACATACTGTATAATTCCATTTACATGAGATATCCCGAATGGGCAAATTAAGAGACAGAAAGTAGATTAGTGACTGCTAGGAACTAGGAGAAGGGAAATGGGAAGTGACTGCTAATTGGTATGGCATTTCTTTTTAGGGTAACGAAAGTGTTCTGGGATGAGTGGTGATGGGTGTGTAGCTCTGAATATACTCAATTACTGAACTGTATACTTCATAAGGATGAATTTTATGGTATGTAAATTATATTTGAGGTTCAACTTTTTGGTAAAGGTATAGAATGGTTTTCTAGCTCTTGGGCATGGAAATAAGCATTTGAATAAAGGAGTAGAAGGACCAGATTCTGGAAAGGACTCAGGCTGTTGGGAGTGGTTGAGATGTCTCCTACTCTTTAATTTAGGATAAGCTGTCATGTAAGTTTATTTCCCATTAGGAATCCCAAGACAGAGAACCTAAATACTCTAACAGCTTTATGGTCTGTTTTAATGTCTCCTTGGAGGCAGGGTTGCTGAACTGTAATGTCTATGTAACAGACCAGTGGGAACTGTGCATCAGTTTCCGAGCTTCCAACTCCTCTTGGGCAGTCTCCCTGGTACATAAGCACTTCCTCCTAGTTTAGTAGTAACTGCTACAAGAACTTTACCACTTTCTTTCAGGTTTTGTTGAGGTACTTTGGAATGGGGCAAAATGATAAGCCTATCAGAAATGGCATTTACAATCATTATTTTCTGCTCATAAAGCAGGGTTTATTGTAACTAAGCACATGCTTTATTAAAAGACAATTTTAGATTCAGATCATTAATGTGTTATGGAAAAAAACAGACTATCTCCCAATTCTATTTGCCTGGCTTTCAAGTCCCCATATGATGAACTCCCATCTTATTTATCCCATTTTAGCACCTGTCCTGCCCATTCAGTATTTTTTACTACAGTCACTTCAATCTCCCAACCCTTTGTCCACACAAGCCCCCGAGACTTCACTCAGATGTCTTTGGCTCCTGGGACTACCTCATCCTTCCCATTCCCTCTCCCAATCCTACCCATCCTGCCACATTCAGCTCCAATCCCAACACCTCCTCAAAGGTTGCCCCTCACTAATCTAGGCTACACTGATTGTTTCTCTGAACCAATGCGTCCCCTGTATTATATGTCAGTCTTCCCCCACTACGTCAGCTTGCTGAAGGGCCATACCTTACAATTCTGTGTTTCACAGAGTATGTGATCAATACTATTTTTACTAGAACTAAATATCCTATTATATCCTGTTTTTAATAAAGGGGACTTAAAAGTTTAAGACAATTAGATATGATGCATCTTCCATCAAAATTTCTTAGTTACAAGGAGAGCATAATTCTGCCCTAGGCCTAAACCTTTTTATGCTACCTGTTTGCCAAGTTTTCTATCATAATTCATAACCCTCCACCCAAGAATGATAATAGGAAATTACCTTTTTAAGTAGTCTTCTCTGCAAGACAGAAGCACTGAGTTGGCCATGCTGGTAGGGGTCAAGATGCGTACAAGCACTGCCTTTGGCTAAGAAACAGATCTCATGCTGGTGACTCAAGTCAGTGCCACAGAACAGAGGTCTTCAGGGAGTGTGATTTCCCAGGAAAAGAACTCAAGGCCCTTGATTTGAATGCTATTATACTGTGCATGAAAAGTTTTCACTTTTTAAAAAAAACCTCGCACACACACAGAAATAATCATGAGGCAGACCACATGTTAACTTCTGTGTGCTGCTGGAATTAGTACCATAAAGCTCTATTTAATTTTTCTTTACCACAAAGGAGTGAGGAAAGAGCAGAAATGAATGGTAGAGCCACCTGCTGGTAGAAAAGGGGGCTGGGTTCCACATTCATTTGGAAGTTGAGTAGAAAGAATTGTTCTGCACCCTCACACCTGGACAGAGGGAGTAGGGAGGAGCCAGACAAAATGTAAAGCCAGCAGTTTTCTGTCAGCCCCTCATGTCCAGTGGGCAGCAGTCCCTGAGTTCTCCTGGGGGCAGCTGGAATATGTTCCTTTTGTTGCTGGGCCCAAGTGTGCCTGTGAGCAGATGGATGAAGATCTTGCAAACTTTTATTCAGGCAAAACACCCCTGAAAGGCTTGAGGAAGCTTCTTTACATTCTTTGCTGCTCAAGGAGGGAACCTTAATGGGTATCTGGCGGTCTGCACAGTCCTATGATGAATAAGATATTTTTATTGCTTTTCTAAAATCCATTTCCTATGCAAAGATTCCTCAGTTAGGTTCTCTGTTATCCTAATTGTGCTCCTCTGGTCATGAGGGGGTAAGGACCTATTTAGCCAAGGTAAGTAGGCTGCCTCAGAACTTCCCATAGGGAACACTGAAATCTGATTCTTCTTTTTTCACTTAGTCTCTAGGTTGAGAACTCTAAGAAGTAAGAGACACAGGATAAGGATGGGAGAGACTGAGCCTTTTTGAGACTCCACTCCTCTGCTGAGTGCCACTTTGAAGGGAAAGAAGAAGTCGAATGGCAATTTCCAGCCCATTCTGGGTTGGCCTCTTGGAGGCTCTGGCTTCCGGGTAACGTCCACAAAGGTCACAGCAGTTGTCAAAGATACTTCTGTTACTTGTTGGAAATCCTGCAGGAATAAAGTCTGTAACAGGTCAGGATTTGGTACCCATTCAGAGCCCTCCAACTTGACTGTTATCACTACTTTCTCTGAAAAAATACCAAAACCAAATTGTTTAAGCAAGATAATACCTTTTTCGCATATAGGTTCTATGTAGTTCTCCTTCTCTGATACACAAGGAAAGAATTTCTTAGCAGCAGTCCATGACAGTGAAACTATGAACAAGTATACCTATCTAAAGGCTGACTCTAGCTGCCCCACATCAGGGAGCTGCCTGATATCAGCGGCCAAATGGCAAAACTGCTGCTGCTACATGCTTAGCAGCTTTACCTTGTCAAGCCCAGAAGGCTCTGGGCTCTGAAACAGTACACATATACCAGTGGAAGCAGCAGTGGCAATTCTATTCCTTCTTCAATTACAGAAAAAAAATGTGAAACTTCATGGAAAAAACAAAAATTTCAGCAATGTAGATTTAAAAAACCCAATCAGATCCACAGACTCTAAGACTTAGAAAGGATACTCCCAACCGTCCATCAATTCAAGCCAAATAAAAACAGATGCTCCCAGAAGAAGAGACCTTGTCAAGCAGACTCATGTATCTGATCTAATAGACATAGGTTTTGGTAAATATTGTTGTAGCTGGATGGCTGGAACATGTTTATCTAAAATGAATTCCTTTTGTTCTAACTCTGTGCTTACCAAGCACACTTCTGATTATGATTTTACAGTAAATAAAATCAAAATAAAATCAAAATATCTTGAACCAGAAATGAAGATTTTCTCCATTCACCTCCTTTACTCTGATGCCACATACAATCTGTGTAGTCTTTGACAACAGTCAATACCAGGCTCTGGGAATATAATTTTGCCTGGAATAATCTTTCTAGATATATTTTTTTTAAGTGGGTCTGGGGCCAATGTTGTAATAATCTTGCATGTCTTATTAACTCTGGACCTTTTTTTTTTTTTTTGAAACAGTGAAGCTCATGAGAGACTTGGAAAGAATATAACTTCTGAGGAACTGAAAGAACCACATTCATTCCAAGGACAGCCAGCTTAGGCTGAAGCTGCCAAGGGAATCCTGTTTCCAGCCAGACATGAAGACTGGCTGAAACAAAAGTGGGCAAGATTTAACTTACAAAATGATTTATTGTTAGGTCTCTAATTTTTCCCTTTGGGGAGAGAATATATACTCAATTTTGGGGGTAAATCTTTGCAGTTGACATTATTGATGCATATTAATAGTGTTATTTAATCTCATTACAGAATGCCTGGTGAGCTGCATTGGCTGGAATTGACAGAAATATTTTGGGATGGGCAACAGGGAATGAATTTTTAGCCTCAGGTTCAGTGTTGGCTAGGAGTTGATTTAATTAATATGTGGTTCTGATTTGTCTCCTGGGGAGAAGGCACATTTTAAATTGCCTGCTAGCAGTCCTAGGAGGATATCCAAATGAGCTGTGGTTGGAATTGGGATGGTGGGCTCATGACAGAAGAACAGTTTTATATTAGGAAGCCCACGGCTGCATACCCAAGTCACATCCACCTACCTAATGTTTATTAGTAATAACGCTGATTATTATTTTTTAAATCTCTGTCTTTTAATTGGTTTCAAATTCAGGTAGGAAAAAGAGGAATGTTATTGGCTCCTTCAAACTCAAAGATCAGGCAAAGTTTGGAGGCTTGAGGTGAGCTTGTACCCAGAATTAACCTCTAAGATACCTATGAGCCCAAGAAGGCAATTTTTAGACCCATGTCTACTCAAATATAAATACATATGTATGTACATATGTGTGTGTGTATTTTTTTAAGTATACGGTGGTGTTTTAATGGCTGGGAAACCCTACATGATAAAGCTCCTTTTGAACTGAATTGTTTTTTGACTCACCCAGAATATAGGCTTATCAAGAGCTACTCCTGATTTGATTTTAAGTTGGCAATGTAAAGATGTCTCTTCCTTCTGTATCTCAAAAACCACTCCAACTCAGTAAGAAACAGATACAAAAACTCCATCTTCACTGAAATGGAGAAACATCACAATATGTGAATTTAGAAAGCAGACGGAAATAAAGTTTCACGAAGGAAATGAATTCCGAACCTAAAAGCCTTCAGAGACAAAACAGCATTTCTCTGCAGGGCCCTGAGGCTCAGTGACAGGGTACACAGGGAGGCGGGGTGGAGTGAGAACCTAAACGGCTACTGAATGATACTCCCTCAGTACAAACAGGCAAGTGCCCTGTCCCTACTTCAACAAGACACTGGGCAATTTAAACCAGAGAATTTTGGATTTAGGGACATTGGGTGTAAAGAAGGGCAGAATGAGGTATGTGACTAAAAATAAGGAAAATATTCTGTACAATGAAGTGTGTGTGTGTGTGTGTGTGTGTGATTATTAAGCATGTGATAACAATTGAAATTTCTCAGAACCGAGTTTACAAAATAAAAAACACCATAGATTGTTTGGTATAATGAATAAGAAAAGACCTACTCAAGGCATAATGTTGTGGAAGTTTCAGAGTACTAGAACCAAAAAGATCTTAAAATAGCTTCTGAACAGCACTATTGGAAACCAGAAGACAATGGAATGATGTCTTCAAATTGTGAATGAAAATCATTTTCAACCTAGAAAGTTCTCCCTACCCAAATGATAAATCAATATCATGATGATGGTGGTTGAATGAAGTTTTATCTAAACATAACTAAAGAAAAAAGGGTACTTTACATGTACCTTTTTTCCCCCAAAGAGGTTATTAGAATTTGAACTCCACCAAAACAAGAGAGTAACCAAGAGAAAGGAAAAAGGAGCATCCAATAAACAGTGACTGTGACACATGTAAGACACAAGAGGAATTCCCAAGGTGACAGCCAAGTTCTATAATGGGTGCTGAGCAGTGACCAGCCCATACTACGTCAGGTGATGGCGGTCTCCACGAAGAAGACATGCAGGACAAAGTACAACCAATAACACTGTACAGCAAGTTCAACCATTTGGAAAACTTATTTGAGAGTAATTCTACAGAGCTATCAGAAAGCATGATAAGTCTTAGCCTTTAGCTCAAAGAAAAGTGAAGAAATGAAATGAGATCATTATTCACTTCAGGAAGAATAAAAATTTTTATAAAAATTTAACTACTTGGCTCAGCATACTTACATAAACATAATAATGAAACACTGGATACTGATTTAATGAAATATTTTGATGTAAACACATTGGGAGAGTGGTGGGAGGGGTATAGGAGGAGAATAATAGAGCTAAATTACCTACCAAAATAGGGAGTCAACAGATGACCTATAAACTCATGACTGAACAGGTAACAGCACAGTATTGCTTAGAAATCGAGGTACTACCAAAGAAACAGAAGAGTTAAAAAGGTAATTCGGTAAAAGCAGGATGGTGACAGAGGATAGAGGACTTTATATTTTGTTAAAAGATCCTCTTTTCTGGCATTTAAAAAATTTCAAAAACCATGTTTAAAAAAAATAAATTACACAATTATTAATTAGCTTGATAAATTATACCTTTATCTAGTACTGGATTAACTTGTCAAGTAACTCTGAAATATAAAATAGGCTTCACAATCCCAATAACTTGTGTTGTCCCAGCGCAAGGGAAAGGAATGGGGTTTTCATAATCCTGTGCCCTTGGCTCACTGGCTGAGGGCCATCTGGGAGATGGCACAGTTCCAAGCACTTTATAGACAAATTGGGTTCTAGTAGTTTGAGGGCAGCCTTCCAAAACAGATACAACAAAACGTAAGGGGAAGAAAACCTCAGGCACACCCACCAAATCGGAAAAAAAAAAAAAGGGTGTGTGTGTGTGTGTATGTGAAAAATACCTTTGTAGGTTACTACAGAAAAGCAAAATCACATTTGGTAATCAGCAGGGTATCTATCACATATAAGATAAAAAAGAACTGAATGTATTGCCCGAACTAAAAACCTATCCATTATTCTTGACTAATTCACCCTCAACTTCCATGTCCAAGCAATGAAGTCCTACCTATGACAACCTTAAGTCTCTGAACTCTGCCACTTCCTGCAGCTGGCACAGCCCTCACCTGGGCTCAGGCTATGAGAATTCCCTGGTGAATTTCTTTAACAGTATTTTCAACTTCACCTCGATATTTTCCCTCATGTTCCATGATGGCATGGACAATGTCTATCTTGTATACCATGCTATACCCAGCACCAAGCATGGTACTTGGCATAGAGTAGGCATTTAATATTCTTTTTTTGACAAAGGAGGTATTTTTGGAGATAGGGAACTAATATAAAGTAACAAGAGATAATAAGTCACAAGGCAGAAAGTATTCCACAGCTGTTTAACTCAGCAATTACAGATCACTTTGACCCATTGTCCTTCCCATCACACTAACTAGGATTCCTAAAGGTTGTTTCATTCATTCACTCATATTTTTATTTATTAAATAACATTTCAAATGAAATGCTTATTCTTTGTATATTAAAGATATTGCCTCAATAATTGTGTGGATGTTTGGGACAAATGCAGTCTAGCAGATAATCCATTAATTAAAAAGAACCTGAATGCACTTGCCAGGTCACTGGTTAACATTGAATGCTATT